AGCAATCAATTTAGCTTACACAAAGAACACAGCTTTTTCATTTTAAGACAAGCAATCAATTTAGCTTACACAAAGAACACAGCTTTTTCATTTTAAGGCAAGCAATCAATTTAGCTTACACAAAGAACACAGCTTTTTCATTTTAAGGCAAGCAATCAATTTAGCTCACACAAAGAAAACAGCTTTTTCATTTTAAGACCATCTCAGAAAGCTTTCAAAGAGATGCTTGAACGATGATCTATAAACCAATTTCCCATAATACAGAAGAACATGGACATCGACAGTCTATAAACCAATAAGTTACCAAGACTGTCCTTTAGTTATAGTAAGAGTTTTACGGCACTTGCAACACGCAACTGCATAAGGTCATATGAGCGCCAGAAGATTAGAGGTGTTACAAGAGAGTAACAAACATAAAAAAGAAAAAGGAGAGATAAAGATGATAGATGTTTGAAAGAAAAGAAAGAGCAAACCACACCAGAGCACCCGCCAACCACCCACCAGGACTGTCCGTAGCCGTTGTTGGAGGTTGGCTTATCCAGGGAGTCTGTGGAGTTGCTGGGCATGATGTGTCCGTTGTGGTCCGGGTTGTCATGGCAACGGCTGATGGAGGTCATGGAGGAGCCTCGGCTAGCACCGCCTGGAGACAGATGGGGGAGGAAGGTGAGGGAGTGTGATGGAGAGAGATAAGGGAGATGAGTGAGTGGCAGTAAGGTGAATGAGTGGGAGAGAGATGAGGGAGGTGAGTGAAGTGAATGAAGGAGGTGAGGGAGGGAGGAGGGAGAGAAAAGACAGAGAGAGATGGTGGACAGTTTGTCTTTATTGTCCCCCCAAAATGTAACAGTACCAAAAATTTGTGCCAGACAAACAGACAGACAACAAATTACCTCCTTCCACTTTGACGGGCAGTTTGTCGTAGTTGTCCCCAATAAAGGACACATCCCCAAAGACTGCACCGTCGTAGCCGATGTGTCCCGTATGTCGAAGGTCGTTCTGGGGTCGGCTGATCATGTCGGCTCGGATCTTGCGGCTGGACTTCCTGCCCGACTCTGAAGCCAATCAAGACAACAGTTATAAAAAAAAGGAAATGTAAGAGAAAAGAAGGATTGGAGGAATTCTTGTTTCCCCTTACATTTCCCAACAAACCCATGGGCGTTACAGAAGACTTTTTTTCTTATTATGTGAAAATCAGAGATATGAAAGTTGTTGCACTTAATTTTGTTGTTGCTTTTGTTGTTTGTGTGTGACCAAATGGTTTAGGAGGCAAAAGAGTCAGCTGTTGTGGTTGTTATTGTTGCCAGTGCACCTATCGGTGACCTCAATAAGATGTTTTTGGGTTGTAGTTTACACAACACAACAGCCATAATTTGCTGGGAAAAGAAAAGATCCCCCATCATTAGCTGTGCTAGAGAGAGAGTGTGTGTGCGAGAGAGAGAGACAGAGAGAGAGAGAGAGAGAGAGAGAGAGAGAGAGAGAGAGAGAAAGAGAGAGAGAAAGAGAAAAGGGCAGAGAATCAGAGAGAGGCAGACACAGAGAGACAGAGAGAAAAAAGGGTGAGACAATAAGGATGGTTGAGGTGGTGGGAATGAAAAGGGGAGGGAGAGAGAGAAATAGAAAAAAAAAGAGATAGGATAGACAGAGAGAAAGAGACAGAGGAAAAAAGACACAGAGAGAGAGAGAGAGAATGAGAAAGAGAGTGTGAGAAAGAAAGTAAAAAAAAGAGGAGAAACAAAACAGTACAGCTGTCTGACCTTTCCTGGCTAAGGAGTTGGTCTTGGCGTTGATGGGGCTGAACTTTGGCTCGACAAAGGGCACCACGTTGGTGGGGTCAAACAGTCCACTTTTGCCGGAGCTCAGCACACCGCGCCACACCAGGCCAGGGGGGGACGACGTGCTGGGCCTGTGGGTGAGGCGGGTGTCGGTTACAGTTTAGTCATTAGCTTTAGATAGAGTTTTACAGCACTTGCAACACAAACAGGTCATATAAGTGCCAAAGGTTAGTTTTAGTTTTAGTAAGAGTTTTTCAGCACTTGCAACACAATAAGGTCATATAAGTGCTGAAGATTAGAGGAGTACAAGGGAGTAACAAACACAAAAAAAGGAGGGGAGATAAAGACGATAGATGTTTGATAGGAAAGAAGCAAACCATACCAGAGCACCCGCTAACCACCCAGAGTTTTACAGCACTTGAAACACAATAATGTCATATAAGTGCTGAAGATTAGAAGTGTTACAAAGTAGTAACACACAAAAACAGGAGGAGAGATACAGACAATAAATGGGGGCTCTCGTGGCCTAGAGGTTAAGGTGTTGGCCTCTCATTCAAAGGTCCCGGGTTCGATTCCGGGTAGCGACCAAAAAATTTTCTTCTCTAAAATTGTCTCCTTTCCCATCCTTTCCTGATCTCTAACAGTGTTCT